CCAAGGCCACACCCCTGCTCCCGGAGGTGTCTCTGTTCACACTGGTTGCCTCCTCCTTCTCCTTCTCCTCCTCCTCCTCCTCCTCCTCTTCCTCCTCCTCCTCCTCCTCCTCCTCCTCCTCCTCCTTTGCTTCACCAGATGACTCTCTTCGTCACTTTTCCCGTCGGCTCTCCTGGGAAGGGTTTCTGACTGGGCTGGTGGGGAGCACGCGAAGCGCGGAGAGCTTCGAGGCGACTCCAGCGCCGTGGCCACGAGGGCCCCCCAGGAGGTCCAGGCAGGCAAAAACGAGGGAGGGGGAGCGCAGGATCGGTACGGCAGGTTCGCGCGGCGTCGGCACGCGCAAGGGTTTTCGACACCGCGGCGATCGCTCCACCTTGAAACGATCGCGACCCCGATCGTTCAAGGTTGAATGCCGTTGGGTCTGGTGGCGTTACCGTGTCCACCGGTGCTGCCGCGTCGCGGTCGACGCATTTGCGGGCGTCGCTAGCGCGCCAACGCCGCATGAATCTAACGTACCATCTCCTCTTCCGAGAAGCGGTCCTTGTTGGCGGCGCGCACGAGGGTGGTAGGGGAGGGGGAGGAGGGCTTCTCAGAAGGAGGCTGCTTCTGAGAAGGGGCCAGTCTCACATCTGCAGCTAAGGCCCGCGCCTTCTACGAAGCAGACGTGCTTCTAAGAGGCCTTCCCCCCTCCCCCTACCCTTAGGTCGGACATGTCCCCCTGCAGGCGGATGTTGTGCGAAACATCAAATGCAGTCAAAAAAAAAGATGCCAAATTAACCCGGAAATGATCGAACAATTGCCCCCTTATTACCTAACAGCGAAGACTGTTAGGTTTCTAGTGGTGTCAAAAGAGAGCATCTGATGACTCAGAAGGGAGGTCTGGGCGGCATCCGGACAGCGAGGGCCGGGCTCAGGGCCGGGCTCGTTTTAAGCAAACAGTCACACACACACACACTTCGTGCTCTTCGACCTCCCAGAACTCCATTCCCGGGCCACATTTTGAATGCCCGGAGCCAACTGTAGGCCACTTCGTGCTCTTCGACTTCCCAGAACTCCAATCCCGGGCCACGTTTTGAATGCCCGGAGCCAACTGTAGGCCACTTCGTGCTCTTCGACTTCCCAGAACTCCATTCCCGGGCCACATTTTGAATGCCCGGAGCCAACTGTAGGCCACTTCGTGCTCTTGGACTTCCCAGAACAACATTCCCGGGCGACATTTTGGATGCCCGGAGCCAACTGTAGGCCACTTCGTGCTCTTCCAGTTCCCAGAACTCCATTCCTGGGCATGATTTTGAATGCCCGGAGCCAACTGTAGGCCACTTCGTGTTCTTCGAGTTCCCAGAACTCCATTCCCGGGCCACATTTTGAATGCTGAGGCAGGCTGAGGCTGAGGCTGAGGCAGGCTGAGGCTGAGGCAGGCTGAGGCTGAGGCCGAGGCTGAAGGCAGACTGAGGCTGAGGCTGAAGCAGGCTGAAGGCTGAGGCTGAGGCAGGCTGAGGCTGAGGCTGAGGCAGGCTGATGCTGAGGCAGGCTGAGGCTGAGGCTGATGCAGGCTGAGGCTGAGGCAGGCTGAGGCCGAGGCCGAGGCTGAAGGCAGGCTGAGGCTGAGGCTGAGGCAGGCTGAGGCTGAGGCTGAGGCAGGCTGAGGCTGAGGCTGAGGCAGGCTGATGCTGAGGCAGGCTGAGGCTGAGGCTGAGGCTGATGCAGGCTGAGGCTGAGGCTGAGGCTGAGGCTGAGGCTGAAGGCAGACTGAGGCTGAGGCTGAAGCAGGCTGAGGCTGAGGCTGCAGGCTGAGGCTGAGGCTGAGGCTGAGGCTGAGGCTGAGGCTGAGGAGGCTGAGGCTGAGGCTGAGGCTGAGGCTGAGGCTGAGGCTGAGGCTGAGGCTGAGGCAGGCTGAGGCTGAGGCTGAGGCTGATGCTGAGGCTGAGGCAGGCTGAGGCTGAGGCCGAGGCTGAAGGCAGACTGAGGCTGAGGCTGAAGCAGGCTGAGGCTGAGGCTGAGGCAGGCTGAGGCTGAGGCTGAGGCAGGCTGATGCTGAGGCAGGCTGAGGCTGAGGCTGAGGCTGAGGCAGGCTGAGGCAGGCTGAGGCTGAGGCCGAGGCTGAAGGCAGACTGAGGCTGAGGCTGCAGGCTGAGGCTGAGGCTGAGGCAGGCTGAGGCTGAGGCAGGCTGAGGCTGAGGCTGATGAGGCAGGCTGATGCTGAGGCAGGCTGAGGCTGAGGCTGAGGCTGATGCAGGCTGAGGCTGAGGCAGGCTGAGGCTGAGGCCGAGGCTGAAGGCAGACTGAGGCTGAGGCTGAAGCAGGCTGAGGCTGAGGCTGAGGCAGGCTGAGGCTGAGGCTGAGGCAGGCAGGGGCTGAGGCAGGCTGAGGCTGAGGCTCAGGCTGATGCAGGCTGAGGCTGAGGCAGGCTGAGGCTGAGGCAGGCTGAGGCTGAGGCCGAGGCTGGAGGGCGACTGAGGCTGAGGCTGAAGCAGGCTGAGGCAGAGGCTGATGCAGGCTGAGGCTGAGGCTGAGGCAGGCTGATGCTGATGCTGAGGCGGGCTGAGGCTGAGGCTGTGACTGCGACTGCCGTTGCCACTGCGACTGTCATCGCGAATGCGACTGCGGCGACTGCGAGAACAGCAGAATTCTACAACTGGATTCTCATCTGAATCTTAAGGGGAATGTTTCCAAATGTGCTTCTACACATCGCTGTTAGGTTGCTTTGCCGGGATAATCTTTCTTTACCTAAAAGCGAAGACGGATAGGTTTCTACTGGTGTCAAAAGAGAAATCTGATGACTCAGAAGGGAGGTCTGGGCGGCATCCGGGCAGCGAGGGCCAGGCTCAGGGCCGGGCTCGTTTTAAGCAAACAGTCACACACTTCGTGCTCTTCGACCTCCCAGAACTCCATTCCCGGGCCACATTTTGAATGCCCGGAGCCAACTGTAGGCCACTTCGTGCTCTTCGACTTCCCAGAACTCCATTCCCGGGCCACATTTTGGATGCCCGGAGCCAACTGTAGGCCACTTCGTGCTCTTCGACTTCCCAGAACTCCATTCCCGGGCCACATTTTGGATGCCCGGAGCCAACTGTAGGCCACTTCGTGTCTTCACTTCCCAGAACTCCATTCCCGGGCCACATTTTGATTTACATTTTGAATGCCCGGAGCCAACTGTAGGCCACTTCGTGTTCTTCGAGTTCCCAAAACTTCATTCCTGGGCATGATTTTGAATGCCCGGAGCCAACTGTAGGCCACTTCGTGCTCTTCGAGTTCCCAGAATTCCACTCCCGGGCCACATTTTGAATGCCCGGAGCCAATTGTACGCCTTTTCGTGGTCTTCGAGTTCCCAGAACTCCGCTCCTGGGAATGATTTTGAATGCCCGGAGCCAACTGTAGGCCACTTCGTGTTCTTTGAGTTCGCAGAACTCCATTCCCGGGCCACATTTTGAATGCTGAGGCAGGCTGATGCTGAGGCTGCGGCAGGCTGAGGCTGAGGCAGGCTGAGGCTGAGGCCGAGGCTGAAGGCAGACTGAGACTGAGGCTGAAGCAGGCTGAGGCTGAGGCTGAGGCAGGCTGAGGCTGAGGCTGAAGGCAGGCTGAGGGTGAGGCAGGCTGAGGCTGAGGCTGAGGCTGAGGCAGGCTGAGGCTGAGGCAGGCTGAGGCTGAGGCCGAGGCTGCAGGCAGACTGAGGCTGAGGCTGAAGCAGGCTGAGGCTGAGGCTGAGGCAGGCTGAGGCTGAGGCTGAGGCTGAGGCAGGCTGATGCTGAGGCAGGCTGAGGCTGAGGCTGAGGCTGATGCAGGCTGAGGCTGAGGCAGGCTGAGGCTGAGGCCGAGGCTGAAGGCAGAGAGGCTGAGGCTGAGGCTGAGGCTGAGGCTGAGGCTGAGGCTGAGGCTGAGGCAGGCTGAGGCTGAGGCTGAGGCTGCAGGCTGATGCTGAGGCTGAGGCTGAGGCTGAGGCTGATGCAGGCTGAGGCTGAGGCGAGGCTGGCTGAGGCTGCAGGCTGAGGCTGAGGCAGGCTGAGGCTGAGGCAGGAGGCTGAGGCAGGCTGAGGCTGAGGCTGAGGCAGGCTGAGGCTGAGGCTGAGGCTGATGAGGCTGAGGCTGAAGCAGGCTGAGGCTGAGGCTGAGGCAGGCTGAGGCTGAGGCAGGCTGAGGCTGAGGCTGAGGCAGGCTGAGGCTGAGGCTGTGACTGCGACTGCCGTTGCCACTGCGACTGTCATCGCGAATGCGCGACTGCGAGAACAGCAGAATTCTACAACTGGATTCTCATCTGAATCTTAAGGGGAATGCTTCCAGATATGCTCCTACACGTCGCTGTTAGGTTGCTTTGCCGGGATAATCTTTTGGCAGTTTTTGAATATTCCTCCTGTAGAGGGACACGCCCGACTGAACCCTACCCCCCCCCTGGGTGCGTGGCCGACCGCGGGCCCCAGGAATGTACACCACCGCCGCCTCCGCTCCCCATCCCCCCCCCCCCCGGCCTCCCTCTTCCCCTCCCCCTTCCCAGGGCGAGGGAGGGTGCGAGGGAGGCGATGGTGGCGTATACTCCTCGAGTACGGGGCCGACGACGTCCAGAATCGATGTACCCCAAGGACTGATGTCCCGTCGAGTCTGCGGGCCATACCCACACTGCTCCGCAGATCTACCGACCATGCTGCACATTTTTTCTCATGGGCTCGACGAGAAAACCAATTCTGGGGTACATCGATTATGTAGTCGATCCCCTGCTCGAATTTTGGGCCCCAGGGAAAGAAGTGGTCCTTGCTTCCGCGCCTCGGCTGTGTGTGCCTTCTGTTGAAGGCCTGGAAAGCACCAACACCAACACAGGGGGTTGCCTGCACCAGTGAGAGATGATCCTAGATTTTGGTGCTGGTGGTGGCAGTTCGGCCACTAAGGAAACCGAAGTTGAACACCATCACCGAGATCGGGAGCACCTTGCCTCGCTGGAGGCACACCGCCGATGTTGGCGTTGCGCTGGTGTGAACAACTGGGCCTCCGATTCTGGGACCCTCCGGCTCCTGGGCCCCCTCCACCGCCGCGTCCAGCCCCAGGAGCCGCAGCACCCGGCAGGCCTTGGAAATGTCCCGGTCGAACAGGAAGCGCTCCACGCCGCGGAGGGTTCGGAGCCCCCGGGAGCAACTCAGAGCCCAACCCCTCTCGCGTTGCGAAAAAATAGCGACGGGAGGTTTTTCGCCTCCGGGGGCCCTTACCGGGCCTGGGGACCATCAATAAACGACGCAGGATGCAAAACCGATCCCGGGGAAGGGGTCCAGACATCTGGGGGTCGACGTTGCGAAAAATCACGACGTCGGGGGTCAGGGAGCGTCTCCAGCCCCTAGAAATGCTCCAACGCATTGGGAAAAATCGCGGCGGAGGTCTTGCGCCGTTTTCAGCCTCCAGAGGCCCCGCCGGGCCCGGGGGCCGTCAAAAAGCGACCCGGGATGAAAAGCCAGTGCCTGGGAGAGGGTCGAGACTTCCAGGGGCCCCGTATAAAAAAGCACGACATCGGATCTCTGGGCCCCCGAGGGGCCTCTGCAGGGCACTACGTGCTGATGTTACAGGCAAACGTCCGACACGACAAAATAGTGCACAAATCTTATGGCACATCGTTTCCCGCGCGGCATGGCCAGAAAGCGTGATGGTACCTCCGAATTCCTCCCGGGGGGCGGGGGAAATCGGCGGATCCGCCGCCCAGCAGGCTGCAGGACCTGATGATCAAAAGCAATATCAATGACACACCGCGGTGGGGAACCCATCAGCGTGTTAGTGGTGAAGATACACGTGGCCTTCGGACAAAAACGAAGGAGTAACACGTTGACGGACAGGCAACGGCGGCGTATCATTGATACTCTCTGTCCCCCCCCCCCGGGGACCGAGGAGAACGTGGGAAGAGCGGAGGGGGGGGGGGGCCAGATTTTGGCTTGACCTGGACTTGAGTAACGAGCGCGCCATTGCCTCAACTCGCGGACTGTCTCGGAAGAGCGCAGGGCAAAGCAGAGATTGCATGGAGCAACCGCTGCAACAAGAGATGCGCCAGCAGTGTGTTTTCATGTCCTTCACACTTCTCCTACGCGGGCCAGAGAGGAGGGGAGGAAGAGAAGGACGATGACGACGACGACCACGAGCGGGAGACGCAACATGAAGGTCGGGAGCAACTGCAGCAGTAGCATCAATACGAGGCCCGCCTCCTCCTCCTCCTCCCGCCACTCCGCCTCCCCGCTTCCCCGCCTACTCTTCCACCTCCTCCACCTCCTCCTCCTCCTTCTCCTCCTCATCGTCATCATCCGAAACATCAGCAACATCAGCACCATCATCACCACCAACAATCCTCCTCGGCATCATCACAACCACCGTCGTCATCACCACCATCCTCATCCTCAGCATCGTCACCATCACCGTCACAACAATCACCACCAATCATCATCACCACCACAACAGCCAATCATCACCAGCATCATCAAGAGCAGCAGCATCAGCATGAGCATCAGCATCTCCATAAAGTTTAGTTTCACCACCAGCAACATCGCCACCATCACCATCACCATCATCGCAATCGTCGTCATCGATAACAGCACCCGCGGCATCAACATGACCATCAACAACTCCATCAGCATCATCAGCATCATCAACATCCGCATCGCAATCAGCATCGTAACAAACCACATCAGCACCACACCCATCACCACAACGTATCAGCATTCGCCTCATCATGGCCATCACCGTCGTCATCACAACCATCATCATCATGACCATGGTCACCATCACCACCAACATCACCATCACCACCACCAATCAGCATTCACATCATCAGAACCAACACCAATCTTCATTACCATCGGAAGCATCATCACCATCAGCAAACTCAAGACTGGCATCATCACAGTGTTTAGCAGCAACACCACCACCACAATCGCCATCAACAGCATCATCAGCATTGTCATCATCATAGCCATCGCCATCGCCATCACCATGGTGACCACCAGTAATCCTCCTCATCGTTATCATCACCACTACCCTCGGCACCATCGCCACCAGCATCATCAACGTCAGTATCATACTCATCAGTACCATCACCATCAACCATACACATCCATAACCACCACCACCAATCATCATCACCATCAACATGAGCATGATCAACATCATCAGCAGCATTGCCAGCGTCATATCCCGTGCAATCACCACCACCACCACCATCGCCATTACAACCATCATCATCGTCACCAACATCATTGACAGCATCATCATCGTCGACAGCATCACAACCACCATCATCATTATCCTCACCTTCATCACCATCATCCGTATCACAATCACCCTCAGAATCCGCATCATCATCACCATCACCATTATCACCACTATTACCAGCAGCACCATCTTTACACCATGATCAGCATCATCATCGACGACATCGCCAAGAGCAGCAGCATTGTCATGGGAATGGGAATCGGAAGAGGAATGGGGATGAGAACGAGAATGGGAATGGGAATTGGACGCTGGGGGCGCCAATCGAACGACTGGAATACCTAGAGAAAACCTGGGCCTCTACCCACTAAAAAGTTTCGAGATGGGTGCCACTTTGCCCCGGGGGCCTTCAGAGGGAACACTTGGCCCCGAACGCTGGGGATGGAGGCCCACAGGCGATTCGTGGCGCCTCGTTGGCGGGGGGCACTGCCGATCTGACAGGGCATGCACTCGACTGGCCAGCGTTCAACTGCGAAGAGGGAGGACAGGCGCGGCGAGAAAGGCAGGCGAAAGGGGAGAGGCTGCCGCAGCGGGCGTCGTAAGACGAATATGCCCACTGAAGTCATGCAACGAAGACATCGGTGGTACTGCCAACCATGGAGAAGAACAAACCCCTCCACATTTTCAGTAGTCACATCCACCGACAGTCACCCAATCAGCTCGCCAATACGCGGCATGCGTAGGGTATCATGTCGGAAAAATTCACGATCGTTCGTTTGCGACGTCCGGGTACACAAACGTTGGACTGCGCCGCCATCCTGGGGCGGCCTACAGCGACACTGCGCCCTAACCCACCAAGTTTAACACCCTCCCACTGTGCACCAATCATGAAGCGCCAATGTGCTCTGACCCGTACTACTCGTCGAGGGGATTCTGAAGTGCTCGCTCCAATAGGCCCCGAGGAACGGGGCACATCTTCACGACTCTGCTGGCCACCTGCTTGGAAGCTCCGATGATCATCTTCTCTATGGACTCGTGCTTGCGGCCGAGGGCGAACACAATTTTGGTGATCTCGGCGCGGCCTTCCCTCTTTTTCGCCGGTTTCGAACGGTAATGGAGAACCGACCCTTGAAGCAGCTGCGCCCTCTTGTCCTCCACGTGGTGGTTCCAGAACTCTTGTACTTATTGCTGCGCCTGTTGGCTGAGCTCGAGCCTCGCGATGGCTTGCAACATCGCTGTGGACACGTGGACGCCGGGCACTCCGAGCTCGTCTAACTCCGCTCGTTTGCTCTGCAGCCGCTGCACTTCCTTGTGGTAGGCCCCTCCTGCCGCCTTCACCGCAAGGCAGACGGGATGTGTCGAGAAGGGCAGTACGGTGCGCCATAGGATCCCCGCCAGCTCCCTGAACTCCGCGGCGCTGGACAGCGCGAGTCGTGCGAGGATGAGGACCAGCGCTGCCACCGTCTTTTCTCCCGATGACTCCGCGATGTCTTGTGCGGCGCGCCTGCGCCTTTGTGCTAGTGGCTCGCCTGTTTCTTCTTGGCGCAACCCCCAAGCCGGTGGCGCTAGCTCCAGCGGCATGGCCACGCAGGATCTCGAAACGTGGTGCGCGTGTCCGCAGGTACTCTTGCAGTACCGGAAAATGGGTTAGCCTCGAACGAGCACAACTGGCATCTACGTGATTGAGGATGCAAGGGCCCTCCAAGATACCGAGATCGATTTGCAGACGCTTCCCTCGTAATACGCTTTTGACAACATGCTGTTGTGTGGCTACAACAGACCCGTAGATCCCCTCACAGTATGGGCATATGTTGTTCACCACAAAGCACAGCCACGGGTCACGGAGGCCATGGTAGGCGAGACGATGATGTGCAAGAGCTTGGAATGAGGAAACCTCTTCAAGCAAATGGCCCCCTCGGATAGCTCAAACCCGCCTGTCCACTCCTCTGTCTCCTGCTGCCGACAAGGTGAGCACAGCGGGGTCGAGCACGGCACAGATTCTGGGGTCCGGCCTGGAGGAGGGATCGCCGACCCGTAGACTCCCTGTCGAAGCCTCGGTCATCATCATCATCATCATCATCATCATCATCAGCATCAGCATCAGCATCAGCATCATCATCATCATCATCATCGTCACCCATCATCAGCATCATCATAATCATCATAATCATCCGAATCATGTCATCATAATCATGATCATCATCAGCAGCAGCATCATCATCATCCGATGTCTCATCACCACCAGCATAATCATCACCATCATCATCATCAGCAGCAGCATCATCACCATCATCGTCATCGTGCTCATCATGAGGATCACAACCAGCCTCAGCATGATCATCATCTTTATACACTCGTCGTCATCCCCATCCTCAGCATAGTCTTCAACAACATCACCATCAACATCATAATCATCATCATGATCTGTTTCATCATCAGCAGCAGCATCTGACTTATGGTCCTCATCCTCAGCACCGCATTCCCACCCATAGTCGTCATCATCATCATCAGCATCATCAGCTTCATCACCATCATCATCACCACCATCACCATCGTCAGCAACATCGTCAGCAGCATCATAGTCCTCATCATCATCACCCTCATCAGCACCATCATCGTCCTTTCCGTCATCGTTCGTATAAGTATCATCAGCAGCCAAAGCATCAGCAGCAGCATCATCATCATCATCATCATCATCATCATCCGAATCATCAGCATCATCATGATCAACATCAGCATCAGCATCATCAGCAGCAGTTACACCATCATCATTCCCATCATCATCATCAACACCATCAACATCATCATCATCATCATCATCATCAGCTTCACACGCATCACCCACCTCCGGTTTATCCTCATCCTCACCATTACCCTCGTTATCATCATTACCGTCAGCATCATCAACATCATCATCATCAGCATCAGCATCATCAGTCTCACAATCATCATCGTCAACATCATCAGCAGCCGCAGCACAAAGATAATCATTACCATCAACGTCCTCATCATCATCCGCATCGGCCTCGTCAGAATCGCAATCGCCAGGAACCACAACACACAAACCTGCTCATCATCAACACCCGCAACATCATCAGTATCAAACGGATCATCATCAGCATCGGCATCCGCATCACCATCAGCATCATCAGCGAAAGACGCGTCATCATCAGCGACAACATCCTCATCGTACTTAGCATCATCATCATCAGCATTATCATCATCCTTGCAACCGCCATCTTCATCAGCACCACCATCATCTTCACACGTACCCTCAGCGACACCAACAACAAAATCCGCAACATCCTCATTCTCGGCCTCATCACCATCCCTACCATCATCAAAGCATCATCATGAGCATGATCATCATAGTTATTTATCACCACCATCATCGGCATCAACATCGTCATCATCAAGATCCTCATCCTTGCCATCACCACCATCAGAAGTATCACGACGATGGTCATCATCATGATCAGCCCCCTCCGTACCCTCGTCATCAGCAACACTAGCATCATCAGCATGATCATACGTACCGTCATCATCCGCATCGTCACCATCATCAGCACCAGGCTTACTATCACCAGCATCGCCACCATCACCGTGGCATCATCATCATCACCAGAAGCCACATGAGCATCAGCATCAGCATCGTCACAACGTCATCAGCATCAGCAGCATGATCCCCATCTTCATCATAATGCTCATGCGCATCACCACCACCATCAGCATGGCCAACACCATCCTCATCATCGTCAGCATGGTTAGCAGAATCGTGATCAACAGCATCACCATTAACATCATCAGCATCGGCATCAACATCGTGAACATCATCATCGTCGTTACCAACATAGTCATCAGCTCCACCTTTATCAGCATCGTCGTCTTCAGTATCATCTCCACCCCGTCCGCATCATCAGCGTCACCAGCATTATCAGCATCAGCATCATCACCAGCATCAGCATCACCACCCCCTATCACCATAATAAGCATCCTCATAATCAGGATCATCATCACCACCACCACCATCACCAACCCACTATCACCCTAATCACCACCATTTCCAGCATCAACAGCGTCATCATCAACACAATCGTCGTCACCATCCTAAGCATCAGCACCATCCTCATCATCACGAGCATCACAAACAGCAGCAACAGCATGCCCATCCTCATCGGCATCATCACCAGCACCAGTACCAACCTCATCATCAACATCCCCACCATTCATCATCCCCAGTCGCATCAGCACCCTTATCATTTTCAAAATCACCAGTATCATCATCCTCATCAGCATGATCATCATCATCATCGTCATCATCAGCATCATCGTCATTAGCATCGTCAGCATCGTCATGATCATCATCAGCATCACCATCAGTCTCACCAGCATCATAGTCATCAGCAGCAGCATCATCATTATCATTATCAGCAGCATCGTCTCCATCCTCATCATCATCAGCATCGTCACCATCATCCTCACCACCATCATCATGATCAGCAGCATCAGCATCAGCATCACCATCATCATCATCATCAGCAGCATCATCATCTTCATCATCGTCGCCGTCATCATCGTCACCATCATCAGCATCATCATCCTCATCAGCATCGCCGTCGTTATCATCACCACCATCGTCAACGGTATCCTCACCGCCATCATCAGCATCAGCATCAGCATCAGCATCAGGATCAGCATCATAATCGTCATCCTCGTCCTCAGCCTTATCAACCTCGTCATCATAATCCTGAACAGTATCATCAGAATCCTCGTCCTCACACTCATCATCAGCATCACCATCAGCATCAGCATCATCATCATCATCAGCATCGTCATCGTCATCCTCATCATCATCACCATCATCCAGATCATCTTCACCAGCATCATCACTATGTGCAGAATCATCATCACCATCATCATTACCATCATCACCCGTATGATTAGCATTGTCGTCATCGGCCTCATCGTCACCATCATCATCGTCATAGTCCTAATCCTCATCGACTGTATCATGATAATCCTCACTATCATCATCCTAATCCTTGTCGTCACCCTGATCATTACCATTCTCACCATCAGCTGCAACAGCAGCATCATCGTCATCAGCATCATCATGCTCATCATCACCATCATCATCATCATCATCAGCAGCAGCAGCATCATCATCATCATCATCATCATCATCATCATCATCATCATCAGCATCATCATCATCATCATCGTCATCATCATCATCATCAGCAGCATCATTAAAGTCATCCTCATCCTCGTCACCAGCATCATCGTTGTCATCGTCATCATTAACATCATAATGAGCAACATCGGCGTCATGTGCATGATGCCAATCATCACCACCACCATAATCATCATCATCATCGGCATCATCATCACTATTATCGTAGTGTTCGTCATCATACGCTTCATCATCCTCATCATCATCATCATCATCCTCAGCATCAGCATCACCACCAACAGCAGCAGGATCACCATCGTCATCGGCGCCGTCTGCTTCAGCATCCGTCCTCCCCCTCCTCTCCTTCCTCCTCCTGCTCCTGCAGCTCCCCCTGCCCTGGCCGGGCGACCGGCTGCCAGGCAGCGTGTTGAGGTCCCCGCACAGCGCCAGGGGCAGGGCCGGGTCGAAGCGCGCGCGGGCGGTCTCCAAGAGCACCTGGAGCTGCCAGGACCTGGCGCCACCGTCGTCGTCGTCGGCGTCGGACCTCCAAGCGTCGCCGAAAATCCCGACGGCCTCTCTTTCAGACGTCTCGATACCGTAGGCGAATGTTCCTGCTTATTCGCTGTTGAACCGTGTGCTTCCCAGTTCCGTAGCTTGCCTAGAGCCTGGAGCTCGAATTAAGTAGAAAAAAGCAGCATTGCCTGTCAACAAAATTTAGGAGTGCAGCTAGTTTTTTGGTCGCAGATCTGTAGGAGACCAATCTTCGAGCCAGAGAAGCAAGAACCCCTTTGGGGGAATCCGTGAGCAGAAGTGCAGCACTGGCAACGAGAGCTGTACGGATGGAGGCCCTTCCCTGTCCAAAACGGAGACCTCGCTGGACCCTTCCCTTCAGTGAACAACTCGACCTCCTGGCACCTCGCACAACCAGAAAGATGGAGGGCGGCTCCTACTCAACAGCAGATGTTCGCCTGAACGACAGGCCTCATGGGGACGGCCCCCGTAGAGAACAAAGAAATAGTTGCAGAGGCTCCTGACGGAGGTCCTTGAATAGGAGGAGGATGCATTGAAGCATCGGCTCCTCCTGCTCCTCCTCCCCCCTCCCTCTCCACCTCCTCCTCCCCCTCCGCCTCCACATCTTCGCCGTCGTCCTCGTCCTCGCCCTCCTCATCCTCCACCTCCTCCCGCGCCACGGCCTGACGTCCTCGTGGTCCATGCCCCAGTACAGGTGCGTCGTCGCGAGCAGGAACCGGAAGCCCCCGCCCGCCACCGCCTCGAGAGGACGAGGTGGGCAGGAGGGTTCGGGAACGACTTCAAGGGGGCTCCAGGGTGATCATTGGGCTCCAGGGGTCTCCTGGAGGGGAGGACAAGAAGGAGGAGGTCTCTACGAGGGAGCGGGGCATTGCAAAGGATCTTTTCAGGAGCCCCAGGAGGTCCTCGGGCTCCACGGGGATCCAAGGGAGGGGAACGGGGAGGAGGAGAAGGAGCAGGAGGAGGAGAAGTAGAAGGCAGGCTCCAGCGCGGTCCTTGGAAGGAAAACGGGGAGGAGGATGGGCAGGAGGAGGAGGAGGTCCCCAGAAGAACCTGGAGGTAACCAGAGGTAGGAGGCCCCTCGAGACCCCAGGAGGTATCTGGGGACCTACAGCCCACAATCATTCGAAAACGCTCAAAACCTGGTTCCTCAAACCATGAACCTCAACGACGAGGAGTCAAGAAAATGGGATAGCAAGGCACCCAGTCGACTCGGACCTTTTCTCTTGCTGTGGCAGCTGGCAGGGATCGTGGCGGCCTTTCGAAAGGGGTGTCCATTTGATTCTGGATTGGCATCATGGCCCCGGGGACAATGGTTGCGGCACTTGCAAGGCATCCGTGTGAAACTTGGTCGGCAGTCCGCTTCCAACAGATCGAGGGGCAGTATGCTCCACGGCCCGTTGAAAGCAAGGAGAAGCATCATTGGGGCGCCGACTGTTTCACGATAGGGGGGCAGCGCCAGGTAGAGATGGGAAGATTGCGAATTAGAAAGCCAGGCTTTCAAACCAACGACGCCTCTTGCAGTGAGTGCGGAGGGGCCCTATCGTATCCTCAGCAATACTCCTGGACAGGGAAGATGCCAACACAGTGTGCCGCCCTGCTGCCACAAGCTTCTCTGGGGGGTATAGCACAGCTGCGCTCAGAGCACCCTTCTGAAATGCCGCGTTGCTTTGCCCCAGCATTTATGAATAATAGAGAGGTGTCCGGGGTGCCAGACAAGCTACCTGAGAATGTCATTCCCGGGGGGGGGGTAAAGGTGTCCCTGGCCCAAGGTGCCCCTAGCTTTTCGCTCCATGTTGGAGCTCCTGGGGCCCTCTGGCGTGGGGGAGTGCTCTGGAGGCCGTGGGGTCCGCCTTTGAAATGGCGGGGGGCGCCTTGCGCCAGGGACGCTTCTGGCAGCACCCGAGGGGGCCAGGAAGAGGAGGAAGGAGGGCGAGGAGAGGGAGGCGAGGGGGGAGCAGGAGGAGCACGAGGAGGTGGTGGATCAGGAGAGGAAGGAGAAGGGGGAGGAGGAGGAGGTGGATGAGGAAGAGGAGGAGAGGAGGTAATGGAGGAGGAGGAGGAGGAGAAAGAGCAGGAGAGCTGGGAGGCGGAGGAGACCAGCACGCGGCCCCGCGGGTCCTGGGCCACACAGGCCCCCGCTGGGAGCGTACGCGCTGGCCCGAGGCCGGGTGCGGGGGAGGGCTGCCTCCTCTTCCTCCTCCTCCTCCTCCTCCTCCTCCTCCTCCTGTCCTCCTCCTCCTCTCTCCTCCTCCTCCTCGTCCTCCTCCTCCTCCTCCTCCTCCTCTCCTCCTCTCCTCCTCCGTCCTCCTCCCTTTCTGAGGGCGCGGCCCGTGCGAAATCCCACTTGCGCCCAGGGGGGCGCCAGGCAGGGTGCGGGGAGGGGCGGGCCCTCTCATCCTCCTCCTTCCTCCTCCCCCTCCTCCTCCTCCTCTCCTCCTTCCATTCTCCTCCTTCCCTCTTCTCCTCCCCACCCTCTTCTCCTCCTCCTCCTCGTCCTCGTCCTCCTCCTCCTCCTCCTCCTCCTCCTCCTCCTCCTCCTCCTCCTCCTCCTGCGTGACGACCTCCAGCTCCACCACGAGGCCGACGTTCCGCCGCGTGAAGCGCGAGGCCACGCACGCTGGGGGGGCGGCCGAGGCCACGGCGTCGTCGTAGCTGACGGCGAGCTCCCCCCGCTGGCGGAAGAGGCTCGACCGCCAGGCCAGCAGGCAGCCGTCGGCGCGCTCGGGCCGCGCCTGCCGAGCTCTGAAGCCCCACAGCCCAGACGGGCGATGCAGCGGAGGCCAGTCCACAAGAAATCTCCCACAAGGAGGAGGAGGCGCAGGAGGAGGGAGGAGGGAGAAGGAGGAGGAGGAGGAGGAGGAGGAGGAGGAGCAGGAGCAGGAGGAGGAGGGAGGGGGACGTAGGGGTGGGGTAGGGGCAGAGGTGGGGTAGGGGCGCGACCACAAGAAACCTTCCACAAGAGACCCAGCCCTGCGACCCCAGGGCGCCCATCGAGTTTCGGTGCGGGAACCTTAATTACGCCTTCCATACAAAACCATCGAGACCCAAGAAGCCCACGGCACCCTGGAGGCGAGCAGGGTGCTTCGTGGCGTGGGCCTCCACTGTAGCCCCTTGAGGATCCTTCTGGCCACCCGACTTCGCGCCCCGCGCCAACCGCGAGGCGCGACCCCGCCAGGCTATACCTTCCACGCCCTCGCGCCCTCGCGCCCTCGCGCCCTCGCGCCCTCGCGCCCTCGCCCTTTGTCCGAAGGGCAGCCTTCTCCGGCCCGAGCCGCGGCGCGCTCGGGCGCGATGACCGCGGCGCGCTCGGGCGCGATGACCTTCGCGCCCCTCAGGGGACGACCTGGAGGGTCCGAGGAGTTTGAGCGCTTCGCGCCCCTTCTGGCCCTCCAGGGGCCCTAGGGGATCTTCTGACCCGGTTCAGTCCAGACCCAGATCAGTCGGGCCTTGCAGGACCTTGCAGGATTCTACATGGATCCTGCACCCAAGCCCGGGTCAATGCGCCCCCGGACCTGCAAGATCCTGCAAGATCCGGCGCCCTGGCTGACCCCCGTTTACATTGACCCCTCCGGGCCCAGGCCCCCGACGTGGTGCTCGCTTCCACCACGTGGGCCCCTGCAACTCTCGACCCCCGTCCCTGGAGCCAGCTCTTCGTCCCGAGTCGGCTCTTGACCGCGCATGGGCCTGCAGAGAGGCCGAAGAGTATCCCAAACCTCCCGCCTCCATGTTCAACGGCGCGGGGGGGTCTCGATTCAGGTCGGGCCTCCTGCAGGCGGATCTCGGAGGAAAAAAAGGGACTGGTCCGAAAACAAATACCCCCAAACAAAACAAAAAAAAAGAATCGAAAGGAGGAGGAGGAGGAAGGGGAGGAAGAGGAGGAAGAGGAGGAGGAGGAGGAGGAGGAGGGGGAGGAGGAGTCTTGAAGGAGTCTTGAACATTCCTCCTGTGGAGGGAAGCGCCCGACTTACAGCTGCGGTGAGGAAGTTCTGCTCCGCGTGTCGCGGCGGCGGCCCCTGCGACACGCCCTGCTTCGAGGAAGCCCGTGGCGCGCCGCGCTGCCCCGCGGGACGCCGACGCCCGAGGACCGGGGCGTGCCCACCTCGGCCGCTGCTCAGAATCGGGGAGGCGTAAGACTCTATGGACGAGCGCGCTCCACGACTCGCAAGGTTGAACTACTCCCGAGTGGCCTGGATCTCAGTGGGCCCTGGAAACGACAGGGCCGTTTTTGTTACCGATTCCGTTTTGCCGTCATCTTGCCGGTTCCGACGCCGTTTGTTTACCGGTTCCGTCGCCGTTTTGTTGACCGGTTCTGGCTCCGGTTCCCATCCTGGAGCCGTTTTTTTGCCGTTTCCGGTCGCCGTTTTTTTTGCCGTTTCCATTTTCAAGGGACCTTTTTCTGAAAACTGTGAAAAAACGGCCCTGCCGTTTCTGGGGTCCACTAAGGCCTGGATCCCCCGCGGAGGATCGACGATACATTACATCAAAGCGGCCATG